TTAACTGATCCCCGACTCTCCAAGTCAGACGTCCACCACAGCAGAAAACAAACCGTTTGTTCCTGAACGTTCTGGTTTGACACGCATCGAGTCTTTAATGACCTTTCAGATTAGAATAGATATAAACTGATGGTTCCAGTCAGAGTTGACCCCCTCCACCCTCTGGGTAAAGTCCATTTATGTCGCTCTCGTCAAAATGGGCTGAACTTAAATAAATACAACACAAACCAAGGAATAGTCCAAAAGAACATGTATTACTGTGTTCTTTCTTTTCCTTTTAAATGACCAAAATAAACAAACAAAATAAAAAATATGAGGATTATCATTAGATCATTAGTTTTACACCATGCTAGTCAACTGTAGGAGGAATGATCCTAATTGATCATTTTTATTGCTTTAAATCTGGATTTGCAGCCAAATGAAAGAAAGAAAACTTTTTAAAAGTTTTAATTAGCCTTTTATTATTAAGTAAGTACATTTTATTTATACAGCACTGATCACAGACAGAGAATCACACATAGACCCAAACGAAATAAAACAGTCATAAAATCAAAAGATCTCAAAAAGAAATAAATTCACACATCTGCAAAAATAAAGTCACTCAGTTATAAAATATCATGAAACAAAAGAATGATTACAAACTTGAGTTAAAATAGGAAAACTAAAGATTTATGCCCTGAGACTGGGAGATCAGGGGTTAGATTCCTGGTCGGGTCAGACCAAAGACTTTGAACAAATGGGACCCAACACCTCCCTGCTTGACACTCAGCATTAAGGGGTTGGATTGGGGGGTTGAACCACCAAATGGTTCCCGAGCGCGGCCGTGTCTGCAGCTCACCGCTCCCCCAGGGGATGGGTCAAATGCGGAGAACAAATGTCGCACACACACCTGTGTGTGTGACAACTGATGGGACTTTAACTTTAAAGATTTATGTAAAAGCGGCTTTAAACAAACGGGCCTGTAGCTCCAGACCGGCACTACGTAAGGATGAAGGAAGATCACTCCAAAGTCGGGATGAACCGGTCTGGGAGGAGAGAGCATCTCCACGTGTGTGTTGCAAGTTTCTTGGGTTTGAAAATAAAAAGTTTAAATGCAAATATGAAAAACGGAAGGAGAAATAGAAGCATTCAATTATTTGGTCCTGGAAATACTACATTCAGAAAAATGAGGATTTAATAACATTCAGCTACAATTCAATCGCGGTAAATAAATAAAAAATTTTATTGTAAAATATCAGAAATGCAGAAGATCGAATTTCACGTTTGAACAAAAATTAAGTCGATCATGATTTTGCACCTAGCTTCAGCGCGGGCTTGTTTCAGCCTGAACTTCCGGGTGCGTTCCTACCCCACCCCCACCAACAGCACACGCCGTCGCTTCGTGCATAACGACATTTTTGTAGATCCAACGAAGCCTTGAAGCTCTTTAAACTTGGTTACTTCTAAAGGTCAGAGCTTAAAGTTCAAGCGCGCAACGACTAAACATCACCCAAATGAGAGGGAGCCAATTAGGAGTTCCAGCCTGGGACAGTAATTGCAGAAGAAATCCCTTCACATCCGTCCTACTGCCGCCTCTTCCCTGGAGCCCAGTCAAATTAAGACTCATCAAGCCCCTCGGAGGCGTTTAATTAAAGCCCACTTTTATTAGAAAAGACTCTTTGGGTGTTTCTAACCAAACACTCCTTAATTATATCAGTGAAGCTGAAGGAATTCCCTGTTTGTGTTGCGCCTGAGCTCTGAAGGAGCGCTTTATGGAGCAGAACGGCCGTGCCAGAGGAAAATGGCTTCCGGACGTGCAGCCCACATGTGCCCAGGTTTCAGAACATTCATGAAACAAAACTAAAAACTGATCAACATGCACAACTGGAGTCGTTCACGCCCAGGCTGTCCTGTGCAGCTGGTCAGGCTTCAGCCGGAACGGGTCGACTTCTCAGATTTGAGCCACCTCTGTGAATCACGTCAAGCTGCTGCAGCTCTGGATTCCTGCGCTTCTCGTTGTGTGGCGGCAAACGCTGACGAAGGCCGAGCTGCGCCGGCGTAGAGGCAGACTCGGTGTGTTTGTGTAAACATGCCAGTGATGTGGTCACGGAGGTGAAATCAAAGAGATCCGGCCTGCCTGAAGAGTGAGATCACTCAAAATAAAGCTTGTGGTCCAAATCCAAACGGCCCGCGCACGAGCAGGGAGACGATGGGCAGAGTCGTCAGGGTGGGATATTCAAGTCACGGATCAGTTAGATCAGACCAGACTAGCATCAAACACCTGCAGCTCAGCAGATGTGTGTGGAAACGACGAATCCGCGGTGACATCTTTAAAAGCTGCGGTGGGGTCATGAAGCTTTAGCGGGGCCCACACGCGGGCCCCCCGTTTGAACGGAACGCTGCGGCGACATTAGAAGAGCTTGGTGGGATTTTGATTGCAGTTTGTGGTGCAAATAAACTCTGGAATGAACAACAGCGTTCAGCTCTTGCAGCTTCGCTCCAGAGGAAACAAAGGCCCTGTGCGTCTCCGATTCATTTGGATTTGAAACAAGGGAATTCTGCTAAATCCCTCCTGGAGAAAGCCTCTGAAGCAAACCCACCAGGGTGCCCTTCCCTCTAGATAAACTGTGACATAAAAAACGGACTTGAAAGAGAGAACTCCAGCAGCAGCGGCGGATCTTCACAGGAAACGGTGGTTTACCAAACCGTCCCGACTCGTCTTGGCTCCGTCTGCGCCGGAGTGTGAGCTCTGCTAATGAAAGACTTGCTTTAATGAGATCTGAAAGGATGAAGCTCTAGAAGACACGAGCCGAGGTCGGGACAGGAGAACGGGCAGAGAGGCTGCAAGAGTAGGAGAAGAAGTGATGCTTGGCAGGAAAACAGTGCCATCTAGAGACGCCGTGCAACAGATAAAGCTGCTGTTTACATTGAATCGATGAGTTAGAACAGTCCAGTGAAACCTTTTATTGCTGCTTTGTGCTCTCGTCGGCTCTCCACGTGGCCTAGTCAGGGTTTAAACTCCTCATCTTCCTCTGCCCTTGTGCCCCCCGCTGCTTCCTTCCCAGGCAGAGCACTTTTCCACTGTTTCCACTAACAGACTTGTCTCAGCTATCGTGATGTTTTGACTCATTTATCAGCTTCACAGAAATATCAGAGATCGCCATCGAGGCTGCTCCCACGCTCGGACCAAACTGCTCGATTTTCCCAGAAGGGTAAAAATGTTATTAGGAGGCAAACAGAGAAAAAGTGCAGTGTGCCAAAAAAAGTTTGAAAGGTTAAATTATTAAAAAAATTTTTTAACCATTTTTACTTATTCTTGTATTTCATGCAGGCTGAACATGAGAATAGTCTCCTACACCTGTCTCCTGCAGCAGCTTCTGATAGAAAACAGACGGTGAAACTCTCGGATTAGAAAATCCTGACACCCTGTCACTAACATTCATGCACTCACCCATCTGGACTCACAACGGGGAAGGCTGTTGTTGGTTTAGCGTCCAGGAAACAGCAGAGAACGTCTAGGTAAGTAGAAGCTAACCATTAGAATTAGCAACTCCCCCACACAGCAGAAGTCCTCCAGGCTCGTGTTATTGGTGGAGAAAAAACATCAATGCTGCAGAGCCAATCAGAGGAGAGATGTCCAAATATCAGGAAATAAGACTCCAAAAACTCCCCGGGTGTTTCTCAGTGCCTAGGAACCTCGCCTTGATGTCTTGGCCTCGCCCCGGTTGCCTAGGAGATACGTCATCGAGAGCCACCAAGACGTGTTCCAGTGTTCCTGTTCTACCGAGGTGTGTGTTCTCCGTTTGTTAGCCGTTTAGCTAGCTGAGCAAGGATACACGGGAGGTGTCTTGTAGCCTAGCCTTGGTCAAAAATTTAGCAGAATACACGCGATATTTTCAAAAGCATGGCGGATCAGAAGCCGGCAGCTACTTCTGGGACAACTTTCAAGTGTAAAAGTAAGTCAACTAATTAAAAATGTTTTTTTTTTTTATCCAAAGAAGTTATCTGTTGTTGGTTAGCTGCTTAGTAGTTGCAGCTTCGGTGGCTAGCGGGTAGCAACTCACTTATATTTTTTATTTAATAAACATAAATAAACACAATAAAAAAAATAAAAGGCTCGGTAGATATTTATACTGAAACTAATACATATAAAATATAACGTTATCTCCTGTGTCACGTGATGCAAGTCTGTTCCATTTAACCGTTTTCTTTGACCAAGGAAGGACGGTGTCCTCATCAGCAAGGCGCCTGACATTGAGACCCCCCCCCCCCCGTCTGAAGTTCACCTCTTCTCTGGCTAACTTCTACTTCCTGGAACAGGAGTGCCAGGGTTTTTTTCCCCACAGAGCCTGACTCACAAGGCATTCGTTTGTACTAGAGACCACTGTAAAGGTGTTGAAAAAACAAGTTAACTTGGTCTTTAAAGAGCAAGTCACCCCCTACAGGAAATTTACTTCACTTCGACTTGTTTGAAAAATGCAACAAATGCTGTTGCCTGGCAGACCGAGGGCGGAGCCGCTAAAACACACACACACACACACACACACACACACACACACACACACACACACACACACACACACACACACACACACACACACACACACACACACACACACACACACACACACACACACACACACACACACACACACACACACACACACACACACACACACACACACACACACACACACACTGGCATTGTGACATCATAATGTACCAGCTAACATCATAGCATACCTCTTAGCCAATAGCGGTGGCAGATTTAAATTCAAATAGAGTGCAGAGTTTTTCCCTGACGACGGCGCAACACTGCCAGTTAAAATTTAAATATTCTGCCTAAAACTAAGATGCACTGAAGTGCCAAATTATTGACGACACGTGTCTGCAGCACGATCAGACACTCGTTTATTTAGTTTATCAGCAAAAAAAGTTGATTTAGGGGTGACTTGCTCTTTAAGTGCTACTCTAAACAATCTCATGTTCTGCGGCCACCAAACAATAAAACCAAAGCAACATCCGAGAACAATCTGAAATCGTATTTACTGTCTGCAAATCAGAACAATAATGAACCAAAAAACACACAAACGGCTCAACACGCTAAACATTTACATGTTAGTTTAGGAGAAAATCACCAAACTCGGAGGGAAGTCGTCATTCTGGGAGGTGAACACAAAGGCTTGTAAAAAATGTAATTTCTTTTCTAGAAAGTTTCACATTTTTAGACCCAATATGTCAGCTTCTGCTCGTCATTCAGTCAGAAAGTACGAGTTTTGTTTCGCTCCTTTATTCATGCATGTAGAGAAACTTTAAAATACTAATTATTTACATTTTAAAGGGCGAGTGGGTGGGGTGTAGTGCCATCTAGAGACAAGTGTTGCAAACTACAACTAACCGTCGAGCTAAAGGGCAGCAAACGGATTTTCTAAAGAGGGAGTGTTTATATTTGACCCTCCTGAGCCACTGTAGTGACCCTGCAGTGATAATCCTCATCTGAACATCTCAGCAGTGGTAAACAACAAATAAATCTGTTATGCATCAATGGAAGATTCAAACAAACCAAATGGTGACATCACAGTGCACCTTGTTGTGGCGTCCATTTGCTAATCTGATAAAACCATTTGCCGCCCAATACTTTTAGAAACATTCTCGGTTGTAATCATTTTGAAAAAAGGCAAGCACCTTCAATAAATCCCTAACAGATGGTTGGAATCATACAGTTAAAGGGATAATCCCAGATTACAACATTACAGCTAACTCTGGCAGCTTTAAAAGGATCAAATCCAGGTTTTCTTGAATGTAGGTGAGAAAGTACGAAGCTGCAGCAGCATGATCATGACACTTTAAACGATACAGAACACATCCAGGTAAAAACGTCGAGCGTACGAGACACGGTTTTCCACGGAGGAGACAAAGCCACGACTTCAGACTCTTCAGATGTTTCTCACAGCGGCACAAAGATGAGCCGTACCGCTAACGGCCGAACAGTTGGAGAGGAAAACTGCTTTAGAAAGTTAGAACACAACAACTCCGTCTCGTCTTTGGGACTTACGGAGTTTTCTCTGAATGCTTTTCCAGGGATTAGGTTGGACGAGCTCCTTTCGAGACCACGGGATGGAGGAAAGTCAGTTCTGGTGGAGCAGGAAGTTCTTGATAGGTTCTGGTAGCGGTAACGACGCTATGTGGGTTAGGCGACTCTTGCCCATTGTTCTGCGGATCCTGATGCGACACAAGTGTGTCAGCCTACGAGGATTTCCTGCCAAGAAACAGCAAAGGAGTCAAACTATAGAATCGGAACGCCGTGCGGACTGGAAAACCCAACAGCTTTAGATTTTTGATTAGAAACCACAGATTTTACATATCGATGATAATTCAATTCAGCGTGTCTACATAGCACCACGTCACGACAAGAGTCGTGTCAAGGCACTTCACCGTGCACACACACACACACACACACACACACACACACACACCTGAATTTCCTCTCGTTTCATCGACCTGACAGGATGCGATAAACACCTCACACCGAGCTCTTGATTCACCATCGTGCGTGTAAATCACAAGTAAATCAGACCCGTTGGGAACTCTGCTCGTCCCTCATGAGGGCATTGCTGTAGCAGCACCATGACCCAAATGTACCAGAACCGCTCACACACTCGTGTGCCCGGCTGGTGGTCCACATGCCGCTTTTATTTTCTACACTTTTTTCCATAAACTAGCAAACACGTCTGCTGTTTACACAAAATAAAAATATGGGTTTACTTCCTTTTATTCGTCTTCCCCCATAAACTCCCGCATGTCCTCCGATAGCGACGCCGACCTTCCGGGTTTTCAGACTCGGAGGTCCGGCGTGCTGCCAGCACACGTACAGCGTGAGCTCAGGGTGTGAGAACGCGAATCGTGACCTTTGCCCGGTGAGGAAGTCGTCCAGCTTGAGATGAAGCTAAACGCAACGTCTGAAAAGATCGCCCGGTGACTAAAGTGATCAGTGTGGATGAGGCAGAAACTTGGGATGGAGCGAATCCGTGTTGGCCTGCCAGTATCCCAGCTGCACAGCCACAGGCGGGCTTCCCGGGCGCTCTGCTGTTAATCGGAGGGATTTTAGCCGTGTTGCTGAAGCTCGCCATCTTTAGATGAAAGGTGAATTTTTTGTACTCACTCTTTGCTTCCAGGAAGACCCTGAGCGCGTCTGGATTCACCTTCCTCCGGTTTGGCGTCTCCAGCTCGGACTCGTCCCAGGGTACTAGGGCCGGCTTGGCCCCGTGGTCCAGCAGCAGGTGGACGAAGGCCACCTCACATCCGTGTCGCAGCACCGCATCCAGCAGGCAGGAGGCCAGGCCCCGGGTCAGAGCCTCGTGGCAGACGGGACCGGTGTAGTTGAAGTCCGGCTGAGCGCCGGCTTGGAGCAGCAGCCGGAAACATTCCAGGTGATGATAGGCGGCGCTGATGTAGAGGGGGCACACCACCAAGGTGTTCAGGGTACGAGCGCTCAGGAGGAGCCGGGGGCCCAGCTGGTAGTCCATGTCCACGTCGGCATTGAACCTGGAGCAAAACCAACCACGGAGACAGTTTCGACTTAAGAGGAACCAAACTTTAAAAAATGTTCATGGAAAATAAAAAATTAAAGAGCTGCTTTATTTCACTCCACTGATCACCTGGTCCTGATCCTCACCTGATCAGCTCCTGCAGGATCTCCAGCCTCCCCACCCGCGCTGCGTGGTACAGCGGGGTACTGCGGTGGTGGCGGCTCCCGTTGGGGTCGGCTCCAGCCTCCAGCAGGATCCGAACACAGTCCAAGTGGCCGTTGACCACGGCCACATAGAGTGCCGTTTGACCTTTGACATCGACCAGGTCCACGTCGGCCCCCTGAGCGATCAGATAGGACACGCAGGCGGCGTGTCCGGCTGTGGCGGCGATCCGTAGAGGGGTGCACGGGAGACAGCCGCAGCACCACACCGACTTCTCGTTAATACGTCTGGAAACGGGAAGGAGAACAGGAAGTTGCTTTTAGGTTAAAACTAAAACATGCCCGTGACGGTTCTGTCATCCAGGTCACGGTAATCCGAAAGGGTTCACATGAAGGGAACTGGACTTCTTCGGTTTCTTGAAGAAGTTTTGCTTCCCATTCGAGGAGCTTTGTCAGTTCAGGCTGGAAGATGGGAAGGAAGAGCTTTTAAAATGCAGCTTTGGTCCATCAACAGTGTCAGTCTAGGCCACCGCACTCGATCAAAACAGCCATTCTACCACAACTCCCCGGAGGACAGGGAGGAGGGGTATTCACAGGTAGTTTCAGCTCACTCTTGCACGTTCCAGTCAGAAGTGACGAAGCTCCTCGGATGAGAGGCGAAACGTCTTTAAGAAGAAGAAGAAAAGATCGTTTCTATAGCGCCTCTCAAGATAAAAATCCCGAGGCGCTTCACAAAAACAAAACATGTAAAAGTATAAAAAATAATTTGGATAATGTTTAAAAATATATTTTAAATGAGCAAAAATAGACAATTGTGATTAAAAATGTAAAGAAAGAGAGAGAGTGAACAGGAAAGAGGGAAACCAGTGGATCCTGAGGAAGGTGGAATAGGTGGGGAGAGCAGAATAAAGAGAGAGAGGTGAAGAAGGTCATACAAAACCAGCCTGAACAGGTGAGTCTTCGTCCACTGCCCTTCTGGATTCAAGCTGGACGGTTTTACACGAAAGAGCTTCTGTCATTAGTTTCGATCATAAGTGGATAAACATCAGAAACCTCGTGTCTGTTTGCAGTTCTTAACAGTAAAAGTTGAACAATGAGCAGAAATTCATGAACTGAACTGGTAATTTGTGAAAAGTTCCTTCATTTGATTTTCTGCTTTGTTAGATTGGTTGAAACCAGGGTGTTGCTTGAAGCTGTTGAGATGAGGATTACTGGACTTGTTGTTGACGTGTTTACAGAGCGTTGACGACAGGGTCGCTGTGGCTTGAACCCGTCTCACCGTTTGAAGCCGTCCTCCTGCAGCAGGTCCCTCAGCGTGTCCAGGTCCCCCACATGAGCTGCGTTGTGCAGCCGCATGTCATCCTGCTCCAGCGGCTTGTCACAGAACTGCTCCTGCAGCCATTCCTTCAGCTGACGACCTGTTGGAGAGAATCCAGATGTTAGGCCTTCCTGATGTTCCCTAAAGAGCGGGTCAGTTTGGCTGTAGTAACGCCGCCGTGGCCTCAGACAGGTACGGGCCTTTAGAACCCCGCTGCAGTAACGAATGCAGGTCATCTGTTCCGATTAGCGTGGCTGATGACAGACCATTAGCAGTTAGAGTTCACAGCTTTGTTGTTGTTGTTTTTATTTATGGTAGATGGCCATCAATGATATCTGATATAGAGTCCTGGAGCCCCCCAAGGCTCTTTACAACACAATCATTCCCACACTGGTGGTGATTAGCTACAGTGTAGCTTCAGCTGCCCACTGACAGAGGCGAGTCTGCCGACCACCACCAGCAGTTGAGTGCCTTGCCCAAGGACAGGACAGCGACAGGGGGCTCGAACCTGCAACCTTCTGGGCATTCACTTACCCCCTGAGCCACCATCGCCCCGTTGTTGTTGTTTATTTATTCTGAGAAGGTCCTGTAGGTTTGTGTTTACCTGCATTACCGGTCCCGCTGGGCAGGTGGGAGACGGTGATGAGCGGAGGGTAGGTGACGCTGGGAGGCTCGTGGGCGTCGGGGCCGTCCGCCATGCTCCTGCCGGACCGGACCGGTTCAGACCCGCAGGAAGACGCTCCGCTTCTCTTCTCTGGTGAAACAAAGAAGGCCAAAAGGTTTGAATCTGACCGGAGAGCAGCACGTAAACAAACGGAAGGAGGGAGGCGTCCCCTCGGCTCGCTGCGCTACTTCCGGCCTGCGCTCAGCTGTCACATTTAAAGGGGACGCGCCCCCTTAATGGAAGCACATTCCCGCCACTCTGATGAAAAAAAAAATCATAATTATGAGATAATTATGTCGTAATTATGAGATATCTCCATAATTACGACTTAATAGGGCGTTGCATGACTAAACAAACACACATGTAGAGAAGAAGCAGGTTTGGGAGAAAGAAAGTGTTGAACACGTTAAAATCCCAAAAAAGGATGTGGAAGATACAGATGTGTTAAACAGAGACGTCGGGACAAAAGCAGCATTAAAACGGTTTGGTACCGGAGACCGGAGGCTGCCGCAGCCGCCCTGCATAACGGACACGTTCGGCTATCTCGTTTGTGGTGTGAGTGAACTTAATGTCCAGATGAGAAGTAAACGTTTATTCATTTATTTTTGCTGGTTTTTCTAGGAAAACAATCAAAATTGTCATCCCACAGAAGAAGTTATGTTGTGTGTTGGTGTGCCCGGATCAGCTGGTGTGTGTGTGTGTGTGTGTGTGTGTGTCGCGGTTGACTCCACCTGTAACTCACCAGGATGAAAACACTCTGGAAGGTAAAGTTTGGTCGCCTTACAGCTGCCATCCAACATCCGTAAGGAGGCCATTAGGATTCAAATTGAGAGAAAACGCAACAAAACTCACAAGAAAAGGTTGATCGGTTTTATTATTTGACAAGAAACTTGTGTCCTTGGCATTTTTCTGCAGGTCAAATGTTGCAGCAGTTTTTATTTTTACTCAACAATCCTTCAACATGAAAGATCTAAATCAGCGGAATCCTCGCCTTTTTACGGTGTTTTATGGATTATTATTATTATTATTGGGTCATTTAGATCAAATGTGTTAAGAGAAGAATAAACTCTTACAGGTTCCCATGATGAAAGCATCTCTCTGAGAGAAACATGACATGTTTGACATGACAGAGCTGCCTCTCATTACCTGAACAACCAAACCAGTCACACCCCCATAAAGATCCTGTCACAAGGGATAAACGAGACAAAATCATTTATTTAACTCAAACCCAGAATGATAGAAGCATTTAAACTACTACACAGTCTCCACATTTACACAATGTACAGTTTAACGTGTTGCTGAGTGCCGTTTCCAAGGTTACGGGATAGCTGACGTCACCGTTCTACCACCATTCAGACGAACCTAAAATACTGAAACGAAAATGAAAAACGTCACATTTTATTGCAGTTCGACTGCAGCTTTGGAGGGCTGTAGTTTGTTACACATCCTTTATTTTTGTTCTTTTATTAAAAACTAGTTATGCAAAATTATTGTCCTCACATTAAAACACCCAAACAGAATCTCACGTTAGCAGATTCTGCTCTAAAAACAGCTGCTCAGTCATTTCTGCGCACATTTTAGCATCTAAAGCACATGATTCAAAAGGTCTTTTTGCCCTTTATATACTATAATTATTAGTATTATTATTATTCAATTATATTAATCAATTTCCCTCTGGGATTAATAAAGTATTTTTGAATTGAATTGAATTGAATTGAATTCACACTCATCCGTTCACTGAGGATTTTGTTTTGACCGTGTTTAGTAAATATTTTAATTGCGACATCCTGGAGGTCGATCTGCATCCGTGCATGTGTGCACATAAATCATGCACGTAGTAAAATAGATGATTCGTGTTTTCTGGTGATGAGTTATTCCATGTGTGAAAGCAGGTCTGTAACTAAAGCCGGAACCAGAACTGGGTCAGGAAACAAACGAGTCTCGATTTGTTTATATTCCTGTTGGCTAAATTCATCAAGGGCGTTTCATACAACTGCAAAAGCTGGTAAAATACAATCTTTTGTCTTTTATAAAATCATAAATAAACTTCTATTTGGTCAAAAAGTTGAAAAAGCTTCCAGTATAAAGGAAGAGCTTTAAGATGCCTTCAGTCAGGACGTCTTTGTGTTAGTTTGGGTCAGACAGCGACGCCATCATCTCTGTCATCAAAGTGCAGCAGTGCTTCGGGAGCAGAGGAGGTTATTCACCATGTTCAAAGTTGGGGGAAACAGAAAAAGCACAACGCTCCGTCTGAAACCTGACAGACGTGTCAACATTCCAACAGGTGTGCCGTTACCTGAGCTTGGCGTCATGAGCGGCTAACCCACTCATCACAAAAGGCACAAGCGTTAGAAAAGCGTTGCTAACAGTGGAAACGAGTGGACTCCCTCATCATCAGGGCTGATCACCCTCAGGTGTAAACGTTGGTGTTTTAATCCCGGAACGTGGGTGTGGAACGTTTCTCGAGTGCTGGACACACTCGGCCAAGCCAACGGGGCCTGGTTTCCATCTTCACGACCTTCTGGACGTTCATAACAGCAAGCGTCTCACGCCGAGCATTCAGAAGTGTTCTTTTACATCTCTCTCAGGACCTGGAGGAGAACCTGATCCCGGTCACAATCTTCTGGATCTTCTCTTCATTCTTCATAATGTTGGACTTCACAGCACAAATCTTGTCCTGCTGGTCCTTGATCTGCTGCTCCAGCTCCGTGAGGCTGGCTTTAAGAGTCTCCAACGTTTGGTCCGTGGCTCTGACGTACGAGCAGGAGAAGACAAACAAACGTGGGGGTAAGTGAAGCAGAAACGTAAAGTTGACTCGGAGTGAAACTGAGCCCAACCTTTGCTCCTGCAGCAGCGCCTGAGCGTGCTCCCTGTTCTCCCGACGCCAGGTGTGCAGCTCTGTCTGAACGGCGTCCACGTCCTCCTGAATGTAGTCCACGATCTTACCCAGCATCTGGGACCTGCTGCACACCCCCTGGATGAACGAGCTCAGACGCTTCACCTCGTTCTTCACCGCCTCGCGCTCTTTATTCAGCGCTGCCTCCGACACCAGGCTCTGAGAAAAGATGGTGGAGAAGACACGGGGGTGAAACAACGACGCGGTGGTGAATTACAGTCTGAATGTTGGTGTTTAGGGAGCTCAGTGAAGAGCTGGACTTGGTAAGCCTTTAACAGCACACCAGGATAAGTACGCACCGGGGGTACAGAAACCCACCAGACAGCACAGTAAACCCCAAAAGCTTCCAGTTTCTCTCACATGATGTCGTTAGAGAACCAATCAGACAGACTGCTGTTGCCGCAGACCAGAACGTAAACTCTCTCTGGGAATTCTGTCTGTGCCAGCCAGGACTCCGAACCGGAGCTGCCCCGGCTTCTGCGGTTTAGGATTTCGAGGCTAAAAGGCTTACTAAGGATTGGCTAGCTGGGGATACAAAGATCAAACGGGCGGAGGGCTAATGCCGGAGGACTGGCTGTTGAAGGTTTCCAGCGGGGGCCGCGTTAGCCGCTCGGCCCGGCCACGGTCAAAGGGAGGGGAAGGAACTCAAACCCAAGGATGTTTGCTCAGCTGGATCTCGCCAGGCCTGTGTGTGTGTGTGTGTGTGTGTGTGTGTGTCGTAGCCCTAAAACTACACACACTTACTGACAAACACCCACCTGAGAATAGGACGAAGCATACAGTGACCCCCCCCCCCAATCCCAGTCTCTGTTTATCTTGGTAACAGGCTGTGGCAGGGGGGGTTGAGTAACAACCACCACACCGTCGCCTCGTTTCAAGCTCAACCCTGAGCCCAGATCGCAGCGCTCGGCTCCACGTGTGGCTACACCTGTCCTGGCGAGGCAGCAGAATCTACACTTGCCCCCACCCCCCTTAAAAAAACAAAGCATGTCAAAGACGCTGCCGGGGCGTTATCGAGCCATCGCCTCAATTAAACCAGCAGTCTCGACAGGCATGACTAGTCGAGACCGCACCGTAGAAGTGACATCAGACATTAGCGTTTGCTTCCATTCCTCCTCGGGACAGTGAGTGTGCACGCTTCTGACAGCCTGGCTCTGTTTTCGGAGGGTGTGAGCACTGAAACGCCTCGGCCCGCCGGTCCCCCAACTAGGTGGGTGGCTTTCCACCCTGCAGCTACACAAATACTCTACGGCTCATTCCACCGTGCTGCGGTTGTGGTCTACATGGCCCAGACAGGACTCACGGCTTCATCGCCCCTCCGTCTCTGATGGATGAGAAACTCGGTGTGAAAATACGACCCCTTGCTGGTACGTACTCTGTCTTGGTAAATATAAATCACAGCCCTACGGAGGTCTCTGTCGGGGGCACAAGCAACCTGTGCACCCTCCGTTTTGGTACCAGAAGGTAAAAAAGGCAAAGATCTCTATTTCCTACAAACTGGCCCAACATCAATGTTCTCCCACGTCTATTTTCAAAGCCATAAACCACCACAAGCCCCTCCCCCTCCTCATCATCACATGCCTAATTTCCTTCATTAGGAAGTTTGTCCTGAGATGTGATTTATGGTGTGCTTTTGGGGATTTTTCAGGGAAAAAAGAAAAACGTTCTTCAAAGTATTTTTTGACAAGAAAAATGGTGACAGAGCAGAGAGAGTTGATGCTACGGCAACCTTTAGGGCATCATTAACGAGGAAACAACGTTCAGGACACGAGCTTCCTTCACACGTCGGTTTTCACCGTTTTTATTGATTAAAACTATTAATTTAGAGGATTGAATATGAAGGAAGTGGGAAGTGTGTTAAAGAAAGCTTCAGCAACAGCCGATTCTGTTCATGAATAAAAGACGCTGAAGCTTTTCTGACTAATGTAAACAACAGCGTTTGTTTGGCTCCTCTACAGACCAAATCTAATGACCTGGACCGTTCTGGCTACCAGACTTGGTCTCTAACGAACGTTCAGCTCGGGAGATTTTACAGGGTGTTCCTGAAGAAGGCCAGTTGGAGGTAAACCAGAAAGCAGAGCACAAAATAAAACCGGCTCTGCACATTGTTTATGGGCCTTCCTGCTATTTTTATTTTTTTAATAAAATGGCTAACTGGATAATAAAAATAGCTGAGAGTCAGTGAAGTGTGGAGAGGAGCTCTGGGGTTACAGGATGTTGTTGTAAGGTCACGGTGGCCCCGGGGGGACATGGGGGAGGTCACCACCCCGGGGTCTGAAGTGAAAAAGCACGTTTTTATGGGCTGAATGACAAAAATCTGCTGTAAGATGAAATAAAAAACGTTCAGGTGAACAAATCCTCCGACAAGCTAACGTGACCTCCACAGAAGAAATATGACAGTGTCAGCGGGTCGATTCCTTGTTTCCACGCAGAAACCCGGGATGCTGATGAGGACACAGGTCTGCAGAGACGGGTATTTATTTTCTCGACTATCCTGCAGAGAGTATTCTGGCCATTCTCCTGCGTGGCGCTCACTCAACAGCCGTCCATTTGTGCGCCGCGGCGTTTATTTATACGCTACAGACCTTCATCTGGGCTAATTCGATGGGGCAAAAAAAAGGAGTACACAAGAAATTCCTATAAAAACGCAGCTGTTGCAAAAAGCAGATTCTGTCTAAATAAAAGGAGAAGGATCCTGGAATAATATACACGGCTGGTGAGGGTCACGAGGAGGGTCGCCCTCAGAAACACACACCAGAACGCCGGTCACGGCAACGTGAAGTCACGCAACTGTTCAAATATCTCCTGAGAGGGTTTCTTCCTGACAAAGAACAGAAATAGTCTAAATAAACACACGCCCTGCTCCAAAGGCCGGCTCCTCTCGTCCCGATTAGACCAGCAAATCAGAGTTTTTGTGACTTATTCTGTAAATACAGACGCGGGTCACACCAAACCAAAGGGAAGATCAACATTTTCAACATTTCACTGTGATTACAAGAAAAGATGGAGAGAGAGCTCCATTAAGCTGACCTTGCCACGCTTTAATGTCAGGAAGGAAGTGATTGTAGTTCTGTATAGAGCTGACGCGGCGAGGCCAGCGATCCGGGGTAGGGGGAGCAGATACCTGCTGCACCTACAGAGCCTGAAACGAAGGTGTGGAGGCCTGGAAGAGCCAGGAGGCTGCATGAGGAGAATTAGGATAATCTCTACAAGGCTGCGCTCGTGTTACTCAAAGAGTTCAGCTTTTTGAACACTTGTGTCGAGGCGGTTTCACCTTCAGAGGCAACATCTAACACCGCGCTGGAGCAGAGGAGCCGTCCTGACGACGGCTTCCTGCAGGTCAAACGCTTCCACAGCTCCAGGCTGGAGTGCGGGAAGGTGTCTGAGGCAGCATGTAGGACCAAACAGATCAGGGGCCTCTCTGCATGAGTGACGGTCCAAAACAGCGCCTCCATCACAGTCAGGGTGGTCAGCGAGGATGGGATGATGGGGAGATCACGCTTCAGCGGCGGGACCACCCAAAGCAGACGGCACATGCCACCTCACACCAAAGAGTTCAGACCAAACTGGGAACGGTTTCACGTCCAAATACTGATGAGAGTTCTCTCTCTGGCTTCAAGAGAGGAACCCATACACCGTCTTCATCAATAAGATCTGATCTGTTGTTACATAAAAACAAAAGCTGATCAGATGTAAATAAAAAGCTGCATTAGAGTAGAGAAGGTTAAATAAATAAATCAAAGATCCAGAAACATGTTCCCATGTTTTCCTAATTGTGCAGAAACTTAAAAACGCCTCAAATGTGTTGAGCAAGCGGTGAAAAGCGAGCGTGTTCTGCCCCAGACATCTAGATGTACGTATTAATTGCGTGTGGTCCATTAGGGGCCATGCATGCTTGTCTGGTTATTCGGCCCTCAGCTCCGGTGAAAAGGGACATTCTTGTGGTTTGGAGGCTGTAATTACACGTCTCCACTCCGTCTGTTTACATCTTTCTTGTGATAAAAGCCAGCGTGGCAGCGGGGCTGGGGTAAAGTGCTCCCTGGGATCAAACTTCCACACCTGGCCTTGGGTCACCGGCACCAAGCCTGGTGTTAGCCAGCGCTGCCCTCTAGTGGACTAAACCACTCATCCCTTACCTTTTCTGCTGGTTTAGAGGAAGACTCTGATGGTTCATAGTTTTTCTGGGTCTCGAGGATCTTCTTCACGAGTCCACCTGCGACAGGAAACACAGTAAAGATGTTTTCCTACGAGCAGCCAGGAACCGTTCACCAGGATAGACAAAGAAGGAGAAAGTAAGAAGACGTGTTTGTGTTCACCGTGGTTCTCACGGTCCAGTTCCCGCGCAGGTTCCTGCAGTGGAGATGAAACAAGATCAAAACTATTTTTATCCCATCATCCCTGATCCCATCGGCGTCACTTACTGTTACAGGAACATCTGAGGGTAGGGGGACTGCTTCCTCCACCAGGAACTGTTCGTCTTCATCTTCCTCATCCTCCGACAGTGCCTTCCCGTCCATGATGACGGGGGCCGGGGTCTTGGCACTTGATAACCTTAAAAAAGAAGAAAGTTCTCGGTGAAACTTGGCAGACTCGCTGCACCAACCGGTTTATAATCACTCTCACTCAGGCCGGACTTTTACTAAACGAATGATGATGTCACCTCTCGGTCGGGGTCACGTCTGTGTGGCTCTCCTGTCTCTTGACCCGACGAGGTGCGGGGCGTGCGCTGCTCGGACGTGCTGCTTGTCTGGAGAACCGAGGGAGAACACATGAACGCCATCTAACAGCTGCTAAATACGTTTTACTACCCATTACCTCCCCAGTTTATCTAGAACACTGTTAGGGGTCAGGTTTACCAGATGCGTGGGTTTTTAACAGCCACACTGCACGGCTTTAAAGGAGTGGTTCACTTGTTTAATCTATACATCTGCAGTGGTCTCTAGTAGGAATGAATGCCTTGTAAGCCGTTCTCTGGGGGAAAATATACCGGCGGACCACTTCTAGGACCTACGAGTGACCAACATCACAGCTGAGCTTCAGACAGCGGCCTTTGGAGTCTTATTTCCTGATATTTGGACATCTCTCCTCTGATTGGCTAACAGCAACACGACTCTACCACCGACTGCTCTGAGAGTTGATGTTTTATCTCCACAAATAACACAAGCCTGGAGGAGTTTTGTTATGTGGTGGAGTTGCTAATGCTAACGGTTAGCTTAAACTAGCCGTGAGTCCATGGCCGTTTCTCGTTATGCATACTTGTCTGTACTTGTTCTGCATACTTGTCTGTACTTGTGTACTCGCATCATCAGTGACAGCTCAAGGACGGCTCCAATCCTAACGCATCATGGCGAGGGCGCGCAGAGTTCCCAGGTATGTTTGTGCACCCTCCCCTGTATAGAGAATGCATCAATGCATCCTTCTGCGGACTCGGGACAGCAGTTTCCCATAATGCACTGCGTCGTAAACCGTCCGAACTTCAGAGGAGAAATCTAATAACTGTAGAGTTTCACATCGGGGATACTAATGAAAGAATATGAAATTGTCTGTTCATTGAAATAATTGTGTGTAACCTGTAAAATGTGCTGTGTGTGCTGGAGTTTCACTTTTCACGATCCCTCAAAATGCTAATTAGCTAACCTGCTATCAACATAAAAGCAGAGTTGCTCTGTTTTGATGAAGATTTATTTATTTTTATTAATCTAATAGTGGGAAATGCTGGTAATTTATCAGTTTTGATCAAAAGTGGACCCAACATAACACAAATAGGAGAATAATGCTGCGCAGGACGACCAGCAGCCTAAGCGGTCCGATCATTACCGACCAGTCAGAAGAAGACGTTTTTAGTTTTTTATCCAAACTGTAAAAAGCAGCAGGATCAGGGAAAGTCAGTTTTCTATAATAACAATAAAGGGCAACAGAGTGCAAAGTCATGACTACAACATAATTATTTCTAATGACATCAGAAACAACCTTGGTCTCCAGACAGGTACAGTAACAGGTGCTGACCCCACACACCTGGAGACCGCATCCAGCTGAGCCGAGGAACCACCGTTCTCCTGAGGAACGTCTTTCTGGGCTACATGAACGTCTCCATCTGTGGATCACAAACTTCTTAGCACTTTTCTTTTACTGGTGTTAACCTCAAACAGTCCTGTGATGTCATCACTCAGCCACTGTGATGTCATCACTCAGCCACTGTGATGTCATCACTCAGCCACTGTGATGTCATCACTCAGCCACTGTGATGTCATCACTCAGCCACTGTGATGTCATCACTCAGCCACTGTGATGTCATCACTCAGCCACGTTTTGGTGTCACAAACAGAACAAATCCTTTTAAATTAAGGCTTCTTTAGGGAGATCTAGCCGACAGCTGCAAGCTATAAATGTTCTGGTGTCCAAAAGTGACGGAAGACGTTTACCTCCTTCGCTGTCGGAGTCGTCTGTAGAGAGAAATAAAGAGAGAACGTTGTCACAAAGTAACGCAGCATCTCAAATCTGAAGCATGAAGAGAAGATTCATTAACAGTTTATTCTGATCAGATTCACGAAGCTTGTGCCGACACACGGGGACGCCATTAAAGGAAGAAGTCCATGACTCCAACAGTAGAAGGAAAACACAGACTTAACCGTGTTCAGTTTCCAGGAAGGCATCTTTAAAACAACGTTTCAAGTGTGGGAAGGTGTTAGGAATTACCTTGACCTCCGATCTTGGGCCTCCTCCTCTGCCCTTTGGCAGACGATGGCCGAGGTATTCTGGTTGGATTTTCAAACTGAAAAACAAGAACCGACAGAATTATTTTTGATCATAGCCTGTCCTGCTTTAGGCAGCGTGTGTCGTATTTCATCACGACGCACGGCCTCCAGCTAGGACAGCAGCAGAAAACTAACAACATACAAAACCACCCAAAAAAGGATGAAAGGTGGAACCATGAGGTGTCTAAAAACAGGAAAACCAGACATGGAAAGAACGGATCATCATTAATGACATCATTTGTTGTGTTTGTTAACCTCACTGATCCCGTTAGATCATTCAGAACAAGAGGACATGAAGAAAAGCTTCGCTGATTCCTCTCCACTCTTAGTTACTGTTAAGTTTGGGGATGTAAGAAAATAGCAACACACAGAAATATCACAATATGCAGTGTTTGTGAATCGATATTTAAAAGCAGCGTACCCATTTTCTTTAGAGAATTTACAAACATTTACTGAACAGGTCCTTCTCAATAAATTAGCATATTGTGATAAAGTTCATTATTGTCTGTAATGTACTGATAAACATTAGACTTTCATATATATTAGATTCATTACACACAACTGAAGTAGTTCAAGCCTTTTACTGTTTCTAATATTGATGATTTTGGCGTACAGCTCATGAAAACCCAAATTTGCTATCTCTAAAAATTTGCATATTTCATCCGACCAATAAAAAAAAGTGATTTTAATACAAAAAAGTCAACCTTCAAATAATTATGTTCAGTTATGCACTCAGTACTTGGTCGGGAATCCTTTAGCAGAAATGACTGCTTCAATGCGGCGTGGCATGGAGGCGATCAGCCTGTGGCACTGCTGAGGTGTTATGGAGGCCCAGGATGCTTCGATAGCGGCCTTAAGCTCATCCAGAGTGTTGGGTCTGGCGTCTCTCAACTTTCTCTTCACAATATCCCACAGATTCTCTACGGGGTTCAGGTCATACCATGGTCAGTAAACCCTTTAGCAGTGGTGTTGGCACTGTGAGCAGGTGCCAGGTCGTGCTGAAAAATGAAATCTTCATCTCCATAAAGCTTTTCAGCAGATGGAAGCATGAAGTGCTCCAAAATCTCCTGATAGCTAGCTGCATGGACCCTGCCCTTGATAAAACACAGTGGACCAACACCAGCAGCTGACATGGCACCCCAGACCATCACTGACTGTGGGTACTTGACACTGGACTTCAGGCATGTTGGCATTTCCCTCTGCCCAGTCTTCCTCCAGACTCTGGCACCTTGATTTCTGAATGACATCAAAATTTGCTTTCATCTGTAAAAAGTACTTTGGACCACTGAGCAACAGTCCAGCGCTGCTTCTCTGTAGCCCAGGTCAGGCGCTTCTGCCACGGTTTCTGGTTCAAAGGTGGCTTGACCTGGGGAATGCGGCACCTGTAGCCCATTTCCTGCACACGCCTGTACACGGTGGCTCTGGATGTTTCTACTCCAGACTCAGTCCACTGCCTCCGCAGGTCCCCCAAGGTCTGGAATCGGTCCTTCTCCACAATCTTCCTCAGGGTCCGGTCACCTCTTCTCGTTGTGCAGCGCTTTCTGCCACACTTGTTCCTTCCCACAGACTTCCCACTGAGGTGCCTTGATGCAGCACTCTGGGAACAGCCTATTCACTCAGAAATGTCTTTCTGTGTCTTACCCTCTTGCTTGAGGGTGTCAATGATGGCCTTGTGGACAGCAGTCAGGTCGGCAGTCTTACCCATGATTGTGGTTTTGAGTAAGGAACCAGGCTGGGAGTTTTTAAAAGCCTCAGGAATCTTTTGCAGGTGTTTAGAGTTAATTAGTGGATTCAGATGATTAGGTTAATAGCTCGTTTAGAAAACCTTTTCATGATATGCTAATTTTTAGAGACAGGAATTTTGGGTTTTCATGAGCTGTACGCCAAAATCATCAATATTAGAAACAGTAAAAGGCTTGAACTACTTCAGTTGTGTGTAATGAATCTAATATATATGAAAGTCTAATGTTTATCAGTACATTACAGACAATAATGAACTTTATCACAATATGCAGATTTTTTTTGAAGGACCTGTATTTTTGTGCGGTGCAATTCAAACTCCGACTGCAAGGTGGCAGCAGCTTCCACCGCCTCCACTCTGACGGAACAACGAGATCTCACAATCATACTGTTATAATACTGGAAGAGTCTGATCTGAGTTTTCCAATGAATTTCAGTCTAATCGGGGTTTTAGTGTCACGACGTATCGTCTGTATTGTGATATTTATCTCATCGCCAGATTAGGGTTAGGATTACACACCGCTGGTTACATTCTCACCTGATTCTCTTCTACCTCTGAGGGCTAAACAGACAAAAAAACACAGATGTGTGGCTTTCAGGAATCACAGTAAAAACTCGGACACATCTAACACCACAGAAACGCTCTGAATCCCCCCGAAGGCCTTTTACTAACAGGTGCGTACAGAAGCAGACGTAAAACCCAACGCAGACTCACCACTGGCTCTGTGGTGGCTGATTTGTTGCTCTGCTCTTCAGGACCGAGTTTCTGCAGCAGTTTGTCTGCCTCTCTGGTCTGAACACAAACAAACAAACAAACAAACAAACAAACTTTGTGTGAGTGATCAGTGCTCAGATTTAGGACAGAAGTGGAGTGAAGCATCATACTTTGTCGTTTCTACTCTCGTCACTTGGGTTTCTCTCTTCCTGGTCTTTCTGCCGCTCTCTGTGTTTGTCTCTGTGAGATTCTCTCTCTCTGATTGTCTGATCGTCTCTGCCTCGATCCCTGTCGCGGTCTTTCTCCTTGTGCCTGTCCCGGGCGTGTCCTTTGTCCTGCTCCCGGTCCCTGCTCTTGTCGTGGCCTTTGGCGGGATGCTGCTGCTCACCGCGGTGATTCCTGTCGGAGCGCCTACGGTCCCGTTGGTGCTCTTTATTCTCATCTCTGCGTTGACTCTCTGGCTTTTGGGGCCGCTCGGCGTCCTTCTGGTCCTCGCTGCTGCTGCGCTCGGTTGCCTTTTTCTTTTCCTGATATTATATAAACCAAAGTAAGGACGGGGACCCGATCATGAGGATAGATATGTGAAACATAACTTTTTATTGGAAAAGTATAGAAAAGTCTTTTTACTCACCTCATCATTCTGTGTGTGTTTGCGTCCCTCCCTGTCGTTACTCTGAGACTTGGACGTGCTGGCTCTGGTTTTTAAGTCCACCTTGTCTCCTGCCAGCACTCGCTTCACTGCTTCATCACTGGACAACTGCAGACCAAACAGTAAAGATCCTCAAAGCGGAGGATGGAAAAAACCTCATCGTGTTTTTAAGTTGAAAGGCAACATTTCACAAATAACACACATTTTAAATGTATTCTTATTCATCCCCTCTTACGTCATCTGTACACGCACTTGTTTTAGCTTGTGTGTTTTTGCCTTTTTCACACTTATGGCCTAAAAAAAGAAAATGATGCTACAACCTTCAGTGCTCTACACAAATATTCTGATTCTCGCTGCATACGCTGCAGTGAGAATGTATTTAAAGCACCAGGAACTGTTTACAACGGTCCCTAGGAAAGTGGCTCATTACCTCCACCTCCAGGGTGTGTCAGAGTTCTCCTGAGGCAGAAGAAAACATTTCCCAGGAGTGGAAAAAATGTTTGTTAAAAACAAAAATGGAGTTTTATTTTAATGAATTCCCATAAAAACAATATAAAAAACACTTTTTGTGTCTTTGTGTGAGTGCGTACACATGCATATGCACGTGTGTGAGTGTGAGTGTGTGTGTGTGCGTGTGTGTGAGTGTGAGTGCATGTGTGTGTGTGTGTGTGTGTGTGAGTGTGAGTGCATGTGTGTGTGTGTGAGTGTGAGTGTGAGTGTGAGTGTGAGTGTGTGTGTGTGTGTGTGTGTGTGCGTGCGCGCGCGTGTGTGTGTGTGTGTGTGTGTGTGTGTGTGTGTGTGTGTGTGTGTGAGTGTGAGTGCATGTGTGTGTGTGTGTGTGTGTGTGTGCGTGCGTGTGTGTGTGCGCGCGCGTGTGTGTGTGATGCAGACCTTATTGAGGCAGCACTTGCCGATGGCCTGAAGCAGCTCGTTGGTTTTCTCCGGCTCATGGCCGGCAACGATCCGTGCGGGCTTGGCCGCCAGAGGCTCGCCGGTCACCAGCATCACGACATCTATCGCTTTCTGAAGAAAGGTTATTTTTGAGTCCTTTTCCTAGAATGAGATATAATGAAAAAAGCCGTTACCGAGACAAAAACATTTAAAATATAAACTGATTAAAGGCAAAATCTAAATAAAATTGGTTCCATACCAAAAAGAAATGATGACATCATTTGTTTTGTGCAAAAGCAGGTCAGTAAACTGATAAACCAAAGACCAGGAGGACTTGTTGGTCAAACTGACTTCTCTGCACTCCTGACAGCTGAAGTGATGAAACTGAAATATGAATCTTACCCCCAGAGTGACTGGGTTTAACCGCTTGTTACCTCGTTGTTCGAGGGAGGAAATGTAAAACACAACACTAACAACTCATTTCTCTCACTAGTAAGAAACGGGCAGCGTGCAGCTACGTTTGTAAGCAGAGAAGACTCGGTGTAGCTCTCTTTCATTCAGTCCTAATCAAGGATCGCCTTGCAAATAGCAGACTAGCATTCTGACACCTCGACAAACACTCAGTCTCTGCCTGCCAGATCTTCTAGCTCACAGTGTTGCCAGACGGCGTATCTGGTGACTCAGGCTGCCCAGTGAAAACACACGGGGGTAATCCTGAACAAATTAGTCTTTTCAGGGGAAAAAAAGGTCAAAAATCAAGTAAATATAGCAAGAGTAAGCTTACCTTTACACTATCTGACTTCATTTCATTTTCTCCATAGAGGCCTTTCAAAAAACCAGTGCTCCTGATTACCTTAGAGTCAAGAGGAAAATAAAGGTTTACTGTTATTATACAAATATTATAGGTGCTTCTGCAAAACCTACATCATTCTAATACAAGTTAACACAAAATGTTTTTGATTTTATGGAAGCAAGCTTAAAGCAGACTTATGGCTGCAAAATGTTTTAATTTTCAATCAAGTATGTCTTAAACAACTGAATTCCTTTAGTCAGATAAAAGAATATTGCTATAGGAATGCTAACCTCAATTAATTATAAATAAAGCTAGAGTGAAACATAAAACCATCCAACCAGTGTGGTGAGAGAATAAGATCTCAGTTCTGTTTAGAAAATAGATTTAGTCTCTAATCTGTTAAAGAAAAGAGTTAAAATATGAGTTTAATTGTAAAAAAAACATGCTTTTAAAGAAAATATTTTTAAAATTACATTATATATTATGTATTATTTAGTTCATGCAGTTATATACATTTTGCTAATATATCCTGTTTGTGAATACCCGTTCTGCTTTCTTAAGCATGTACACAAACACAAATGTACGATTTTATTTTTTACACAAACATGAGCAGAAAAAGGGTTTAACACAAGAAGCTGACGTCATATTGTTCTACACACATCACACACACAGATGCTCAGTTATGGGAAGAATAATAACCTAAATAATTTAGGTAAATAATGAAAACACACTTTTTCTGCACAAATACTCATTCAGTTAGGAAATGCTCGTCAGTCAAAAATAAATCAGGAAAACAGCAGAGTGGCTCATCAAAATAAGAGCATCTAATGATGCCCCAAACACAAACAGTACGACAGACTGCACTCTACAATATATTATGATTCTAATTCTTGTGTAGATACATTATTCAAATAAATAGTATTTTAAACCGGTTTTTGGTTATTTAAAATCTTAAATATTCTAAATTTTCCTTATTCAGAAAACGTCAGTTGCCAGAAGATAACAGGAAAATGTTTGATGTACAAAATATGTTGCCTTTGTGTTTTACCCTCGTTCTGCCATTTCTACTTAGACAAGAGTAAGTTTTGTCTTAAGAAGGGACAATCATTGAAATAATAATACTTTTTGACATTTACACTGTCATTATTTGGAGCTGATACTACAAATAAAATACAAATTTTAATATTTATCCAGACCTACGACTTACACTGGTGAATCCTACGTTTGTAAACATCTAACATCTAGATGTCGATCAAATGTTGCTGTACATTAAATACAAAAAGGCAGAACTTATGCATCCAACAAGACAGCTGTGGTCAGCTGCTCGGCAGCAGGTGTGAAGCAAGTACAACCTAAACATGTACAGTCATAATAATGAACGTTAGCAGCTGCTTGTCTTTAACGCGTGTTCGCTCTGGGTGCTGAAGAGGAGAAATGCAGTGATACCGCTTTTGAACAGCTGCGGTTAAGCTAACTCGCTCCTGGTGAGGGTTGTCCGGTTAGAGCTATCCCTTTCATGGACACAGATAATAAAGCACACGCAAGGGCTTCATATACAGTTTTTAACTTTATAAAATGTCTTTAAACGTAACTGTTGTCCTTAGTCGGTCTCACCTCACTGATGATGTCGTGAAGGTAACGAAACGGCGGTTTGTTTAGCAGTTTTTCCGTTAACGGCGGCTTCTTTATGACTTTCCCCAGCGTGTCCTGAGTCCTCTTCACCACCGCTGCGTTCATGGCGGCAGATGAAATCCCAACTGAACAATTTAGCTGCTAGAAAAGGGGCGAAAACTGGTCTAAAACACGAATGCTAGGCGGCTCTGGGGCTCCGTTGCTATGTCAATATCCAACAATCCCACAGTGCACCGCGAACGAAAGCTGCGCATGCGCCATAGGCTTTCGGTTGCTAGGTGTTCTGTGTCCATAGCAACGGTAGCTAGCTATGTAGAAAGAAACGAAATAAGGAAAACGATCGTGTATACAGCGCATCTCCAGATAAAAACCACGACGTGCTTCACAAGAACAAAAATAAATAAAGATTAGGCCGACAGACAGACAGACAGATGATAGATAGATAGATAGATAGATAGATAGATAGATAGATAGATAGATAGATAGATAGATAGATAGATAGATAGATAGATAGATAGATAGATAGATACCTAAATTTTATTGTTTTTATTATTGTTTCCTTATTCACAACAACACTTAATTTCCATCTGGGATTAATGAAGCATTTTCTAACTGGATTTATTAAACAAGCACTAATACTACATTTAGAGTCAGTGTTTCAAAGAATTTTATTTATGAAAGTATGAATTATGAAATCGTATGAAGGTGTGCCCAAACTTCCCATGCATGCAAATATGTCTCATATAAGTCATAGACCTTTCTTTGTGTTTCATTTAAAGCAGGATGCTTGTTTTACCCGTTTGGCAAGTTCGGTTAAAAGTCTGACAAAAGGTAAGGTGAGAAGAACAGCTCAAACAGACGCTTGCTGCTTCACGCTGGACAGGTAAGACATCCACTACGAGTGACTTCAGTAGCCAAAAATCAGAAAATTCAGATTCAGTTTCAGCTGGAAAGTTGTTCGCTGCTCTTCAGAATAGAAATGTAATGCTTAAACCATTTAATGCTACGTAAGGGCTTGCAAAGTTACATGCTGTTTCTTTCAAAAAGAAAAAAAGGTACAATAGTTCATTGGATTGAGATTAAATAAGAAGCTGCATTAATACATTAAGACTCATTCCTATTTTGATTACAGTAAACAGCTGTGATGATGTCATCCATAATAAAATAAAATATAAAAATAATAGTAACATAAAACAAGCTTCCTTCGCGGCATCATCGCGCCGGCCTGTCAGACTTGTTTGGTGACTCAGAGCTGAAGCCCTTCAGTGAGCTCTGCGGGTGTAAGAGTTCAAAAAATGCTTTGTGCTTTAAAAGTGCACGCCTTATTCAGCTGTCTGGTTCTCCAGAGGACGAGGAGATGCTTCACTGGGCTGTGTTTGCTCTGCTGATCGGCGCTTGTGCCGCTGCAGAAGAACAGAAGAAGAAGGAGAAGGCTCCATCTCTGTCAAAAGGTGGGTCGCTCTCATTCAGCCTCCATGTTTCTGATCATTCATCAGTCAGATTGACCGATTTAGTCCCAGCACACAACCTGAGTTTGAATTCAGCTTGTGAAGGGCGCAATAAAAGCAAACAGGACATGTTTAAATGTATTTTCTGTTCAGGATGGGGGAATAATATCAAATGGGTCAAAAGTTATGAAGAGGGCCTAGAAGAAATGACAAAAAGGTAAGAGTTCATTTCTTTTGTGCTATAGCTCCTCTTTATGCAATATCAGTCAATCGTTGAAATCCATGCATGGTGCCTCATGTTCTCAGTACTTTAGTCGTTATTGACAACCATCAGTATGCTGAGCTGTTTCCCTGTGGTTTCACTCTCCCAGTCAGAAACCATTGATGGTCATCCATCATCTAGACAGCTGCCCACACAGTCAAGGTACCGCTCTTACATTGCTTCTTGTTTGATTTGATCTTCTAACCATCTTTCTCCGAGCACCTCGAACGAGCCGTCCCGTCCAGGTGGTGGGTTTGGCCTCAGTGGGAGTGAGATGTTCCTGAATGTGTGCTCTGGAGTAGAGCTGTACACATTAATCACTCAGCTGGTTTCCTGTTGGTGAGCTCAGTGAGCACCTACAACACGCCGATGAGAACGACCTCTAGCAGGGAAGATCTCCGTCTCGGTTTGATGCAGGCTTTAAACAACTGGGTTTTGTTTGCTCATGTGGCATCCGGGGTTGCTGTAGTTGCAACACCACCTGGGGAGTAACACCCCAGGAAATAAAGACACAGGTCCACTCTACAGATCAGGCAGGAGATGTGCTTTTATTAAAATATAAAAGAAAAAGAAAAGACTGAATTAACCTGAACAGGCTGAATCTTTCACCAAACCAAACTAAAGTCACCCGTCACAGTGGCCTGCATCCAGGAGGTGCATGGTGAAGGAACACACACACACTGGGACGTAATTTGGGGGGGGGGACGGGTGGGACATGTCCCCCCCACTTTTTCAAAAGGCAGTTTTGGTCCCCTGCACTTTTTTCCGTCCAAAAACAATGTTACGCTCCATTAAATGGATTTAGTTGAGCACTAGGACCGAAACGGAAACCGGTTTACTATTAGACCCGCCCAAAAGCTAATCTATTGGCTCTGCTGATACTTGCTAACGTATTATTGGCTGTTGCTGCTGTCACTCAAGTTGGAAACAGTCAGAACGTGCTCACGTTGTTTTGCTAGTTTGGAGCCGCTAGGGAACACCGGTACTGAGTCACATCGTCAACTAGACGCTGTGTAATATCAGAGCTCAGCTCAGCTTCCACTACATAACATTTGAATAAGTGTTCATTTGTGAGTCTTTGGTAGTTAGGCACAGCCAGGCGGCAGCATGTCAAGAAAACGAAAAGTGGATATAAGAGACTTCTTTCAAAGTCTAAACGTAAGTTGGAACATGTGACACCGCTGCATTAAGCTCAGACTGACCTCCTCCTTCACAAACATACTCAAAACTAACTTTTACAAACTCATCTCCTCCACATAACTGACTCCTCAGACACAATTTATTCGTATTATTATAATTATTATTATTTTTATTATTACTATTATCATCATAATTATTATTACTAGTAGTAGTAGTAGTAGAAGTGTAACTTCAAAACTTTTATCATTTAACTTTATTGTAAACTTATCTATTGCAATGTATATGTTCACATTAAAAAGCTCTGAAAAATGAACAGTATCATCATCGTCAACAGATTTTTAGAGCTTAATGTCAAAGATGTACACTTTTCATTAGATTTATCTTATTTTTTCCTTTTATTTTTTGTGTGTTGAAATGCAACAACTGTTTAAACACTTTTAAGGGAAAAAACATATTTAATATGTTTTTATACACTCAAATGTTAGGGTGATGATCATGTGTAAAACATTAGTTCAGCATGTCCTCTAACACAGCAAATGAACAAACGGCCAGATCTCAGGAGGGACCGTTTATGTATAAATAATTTTTATACTTTTGACTAGGCCTGGGAAAGTAACACATTTTGCTGGACGATATTTTGTCCAACAAATTGTTGATGATAAACGATATTGTCAACATTATCTAGACCAAAATAACCACTAATATAATGTTAATATATCATAATAATGCAAGTACACCCTTTAAAATGCAACAAATAAACCTTCATTTAACATTGAAATGTCCAGAACCAGAACTTCTAAATGAATAAAAATAACAAACAAAAATTGAATAAAAAAAGAACCTCACTCCCTGTTAGAAAATGTTGCACCAAAAACAACAAAAAAGACCCAAAACAATAAATACAATGGCCTATCCATTGTCAACAGCCAAAACTGCACTTCAATAATGATAATAAATAAAAATAATAATAGAGTTGTACATTTTTTAACTTTGATATATATATATATATGAGGATGGAAAAATTATTGAGATGGGCACGTGACGTGTCAAGGGGTATTTACATAACACCCCCCACCCCAAATCCGTACAAGCCTGCTGTGTCCCCCCCACTTCTGAAATCAAAATTTCGTCCCTGCACACACACACACACACACACACATATGTGGAAAACTCCCCACCACCAAGGCCGATGGTACCCCACTGGGAGCAAACAGCCTGCAATAAAAGAAAGAAACTGTCAAAAACAAAAGCAGGCAGTTGGCTAAACGTGTTATAAAAAGATGGACAATCTGCTAGTTCACCAGCCAGGAGTTGAAGGCTGTCTAAAATAAATAAAAATAAAGTTAAATAATTTATTTTAAACGAGCAATCAGTCTCGCTCAGATGCGCGCCACACACATTGAAGAGTTAAACAGCTGGAAAGTTCTTGCTGCTGGAGACACCGGAGAGGTGGTCCTCCTGGACCCGAGTGGAGTCTCACTAGTCTAGTCTAGGAGGTGATGTCAAGCGGAACAGGTGTTACGTCGATATGTGTTCCCCCCTCGAGATCTGTTTCTTTTGCACCCAGCTGCAAGTGGAAACGACCCAATCACAAAAAATAACCCTCACCCTTACCCTAACCACCCAGTCACCAAAAATGTGTGTTTAGCATAAATATAAATGTAGAAAATATTATGTGTGGCACAATTTTTCTGTTTGTTTCAGGGTTATGGTTAGGGTAAGGGTTGGGTTATAACGCCAAGGTTAGTGAGAGGCGATCCCCGAGGGAACAAACCCCTGCCCTTAAAACAGGGCGCCCTCAACAGGTGATTGGTTGAGCAGCATCCCCCAGCTGCAAACGATCACCCTGCTACACTCACGTCTGCAGAGAACAATGTGTGCAACATTTTCAGAATTTTCTGGGGCAAATAAAAAGTACCAGTAATGTTTTCGTGGCGTGCACAAACACAATAACGTCTAAACTATTTTAACAGCACTGAAGAAGGTGTTTGTTGCTGATAAGGGCATCCAGAAAATGGCTAAAGAGGACTTCATCATGCTCAACCTGGTGGTAAATAAGCATCTTTATTACCTGGCCTCCAAATATTCAAAGCATGCAAAGATTATAGAAAATAAAAATCATCTTTACTTAAAGAGCAAGTCACCCCCTACCAGATTCTTACTCCACTCCCACTTCCTGTTTGAGAAATGCAACAAATGCTGTTGCCTGGCAGACCGAGAGGGCGGAGCCTCTAACAAATACACACACACAGGCTCACAACATTGTGACATCATAATGTACCAGCTAACATCATAGTGTACCTCTTTGCCAATTGTGATGGCAGAATTTTTACCTGAAGACAGCGCAACACTGACAGAATATACATTTTAACTAAGATGCACTAAAGTGCCAAATTACTGACTACACGTGTCTTCAGCACAACAGACACTCATCTACATAGTTTATCAGCAAAAAAAAGTTGATTTGGGGGTGACTTGCTCTTTAATTCCCTAATATAAACATGTGATATTTCTCTACAGGAAGAGACTACGGACAAAAACATGGCTCCTGATGGGTATTATGTTCCCCGAATCTTGTTTGTTGGTAAAAATATTGTTTCTGTATCAGAAAAGAGAAAAAAATTAACCAGATTTAACTAGATTTTTGTTATCACACTAAACTCACGTTGTTTTATGCTTTGAGCTGTAATATTTACTTTTAGTATACATTGTAAACATACAAGAAACAGGAAAGGTTTCATTATTTTTGTAATATTGTCATTGCTTCTTCCAAATTACAGTGAGCTGAATTAAGAATGATACAGGTACAATTGTAAAAACAAGAATCTCGTGCAAAAGTCCATTTATTTCAGTAATCCAGCTCAGACTGAGAGACCATCTGAAGGCTCAGGGACCCTTTGCAGGCACTCTGGATTCATTAGCTGATTAGAATGTGACACTTTGACTCTAGAATATTTAACCTTTTCACAATTTCTAGTTGTATGAGATTTTGAATTTGGGGTTTGCATAAGCTGTAAGCCATAATCATCACAATTATAACAATTAAAGATTTAAATATCCATACATAGCTACTGTTTACCATCAGTGAGTGTGAGGTTGTCATGTCTCCTACGAGCTAACGCTGCAGCTCAGGCATTTGCATTTCAACACCAGCAGGCAAAAAGCTCCAGAAATGTTTACAGAAGTTGATCCAGTACACAGGAGCGACCCAGAAGGCATTTCTTGTACCCCTAAGATGCCACGGCATCTTTTTGTTTTACTCTATTATTGAGTGAATCAGGCTAGAGGCTAATGTTGAGCTAACAATGCTAACGGTGAATTAAAAGCAAATTGTTGGCTATAAAAGTATCTCAAGCTACTTTTTTTTATTACTGACAGCTCGATATTACAGTGAAATGTGCATGAAGTGATTAATGAGTCAATGGTGGAGTTTTACTTCCTTTAATGAGTCGTTCATAACTATAACAGCAAGCTAACAGCTAGACGGTAAGCAACCACACTTCTAATGCCGAGGGCTTATTACCGTAATAAGTGTAGTAAGTTCTCCCTACCGTAAAACACCCAAGAGTGCTAACACCAAATATGACTATGTATTTATCTACTTATCAACACACTGGGTATGACTCGTCACCTAGAATCTGATCCGTAGCTGAAACTTATGGAACAGTGAACTAAATTTGACCACATGATGTCATTTTTACCGTATTCCCTCATATTGCACCTTGAAGTTAATTTTGTGAAATTAATGAACTTTTGCACCACATTCTAATGTTTCCAATTTCATCTATTTGCCTCATTTGTTCAGCAAAATCTTATTGTGCAGCAGCTGATTTTTTGTTTTTATTCATGTTGCAGGCCTTAAATACAGAAACTGACAGTACATAAAAAAGCAGCTAATGAGACAAAACATGAATCACCACAGGTGTCTGCTTTTCCAGTTTCGATTAAAAAAAGTTTTATTCGTCATACAACTCCAAGTTTCTGTTGATTTAGCCAAATCCAAAAGCAGGTCTGTGACTTGTGGACCTGTCTTCAGCTGATCATGTGTGTCATCTCATCAGATCCAACCAGGACTGTCCGGACAGACATTACAGGACGATACAGCAACAACCTCTACGCTTATGAGTCTGGAGACTTGGAGCTCTGTGAGTGACCGTTTGCTGCTCTAACCAGTCAGCTGTCTTCAGACAGACTGATCCCACCTCCTTTAACCTTCGTCAGACATTCTGAGGACATGGAAGAAAATAAACAAGTCCCTCATTCAATTTTAGCACCGAAAACTGGAGGGAAACACTGGGAATGTGTTTTATCTCCTAACCCTTTCGAAACAAAACAGAAAAACAGAATCAGGACAGAAAGAAAACACTAAACCTTCAAACTTGACATTTTTAAGTACCCACACCATAACAAATAATAATAATAATAAAAAAACAATTAAAATGTTATTATAATTTATTAGAAGCCAATGCAATTTACAGTATAATTTAAGACAACATATAAATATCAGATTAAATCTGAGTAAAAAGGACAAACTGCAGCCAGCTAAGAGTTTTCTGTCTTCTCTTTGATTAAAGTGTCTGAAAACATGAAGAAAGCCAAAGTCCTGATGCACACTGAACTGTGACGCTGCTCTGCACCGGCTGGACGGATCCGACGGCTCAACCATCAGCCGCGAGCCTTCAGGATTTATTCCAGACCTCAATAAAACCAACAGGAAAACTGTTTACGCCACATTATCCTGATTTCCAAACAAGTTCATTTTGTGTAACTGAACACGAATAAATCTGTTTTAAAATATGAAACAAGGCTATGTTCTTTAGTTCCTGGTCCTAAATGCAGAATCTTTTAAATAGTTGCTTGTTTATCATTCAGATGAAATTGTTCATCTTTCAGCCACATTTCTGAGTTGTAAACATTTCCACCACTAGGGGGCAGTAGGATGTAGCATGTCCATTTTTTATTTATTAGCAGAAATCTGATTTATTCATCCAAATTTAAATAATTAAAATAAAAAATACTGCAAGTGATCAGGTTATAATACCAGTAATTACATGTTACCTAAAGATAAAAATTAGACTTTAATGGTTCAAGAGATGCTGTCCCCACAAATATCCCAGATGCTGCTTGTTGCTGCACTGTGATACATTTTAAATGTTTTCTTGATCTAATGTGGAGTTTTTGCTCCTATTAAAAAGAAAATCCACTTATTTCACACTTTCAATTGTGCCATGATGTATCCCGAAACTTTTCTCTTCAAATTCCTAAAAAAAAAAAAGAAGCACAAGTAAAATAGGTCAGCAAGTTTAATTCCTCAGTATCATTTTCTTCTGCATCTACAAAAAGATGTGAGTGAGAAATTCAATGATTCACTCTGCTTCTTTCCTTCTCCTGATCAGACGAGTGAGGCGTTCACCTCTGCTTCTTCTCCACGCGTATTTCTCTTTTCTGTTTTAGTTCTCGGTCTTCCAGTTAGACCTCTGGAGATTGAGGAGCTTTTGAGATTTTTCCAATACGTTTCATTGGCGTGCACTGCTGGGTTCATAACAAATGTGTTTTCTGCTCCTGCATCACAGGTCTGACAGATCCCTCCCTGGGTTCTTTGCACCGTTGTGTCAGAGCTCTGGGATTGAAATCTAACTCCCAAATCTTCTTCACTTCTCCAAAATCTGCCACAACTCTTCAAGAGTGTGAATAATACTTCAGCGTCGGGGGGACGATAATAGTTTGTATGCATGACCAAAAAAAAGGTTGATGTAAGTTTCCTTGCATAAAGGAGCATAAAATTCACTATTTGAATAATTAACATCTGCACACATGCTTAGTGATTAATACGCGCATCACTTCCAATTAATCTAAAGGCCTCCTCTGGATCGTGTTGCTGTTCTGTGGCTACGAACTTCATTCTCCATAAACAACAAACAGACCTCCTGGTGGTTAGTTTCCTTTCCGGTATCTGGTAAACGAGTCAGGAAGATGTCAGTTTTGAAAACACATTTTGGAGGACAGTACATAAAAAAAAGAAGAGGAAAACAATTCAGTGTATTTAGATGGGACCTGCTGACTTTTTATTTATTTATTCTAACGCGTGCAGCTTGTGCCTCAGTTGTTCCATCCGCTGCCTTAAGAGAACTGCTCATGTGGAGTTAATGCAATAGTTATTACAGGAGTTTGTAAAACATTTCGGAACACATTTGATCTTCTTTGTTTATAAGTCCTAGCATCAGTAAAGCCATTTCTCAACAAGCAGGGCTGCAAGTTGGCAGAAACTTGAGTTCAGACTTTTGTCTCCCATGATTCCTGCATGGTAGTCCGGTTCGACTCCTGGCTAGGACCTTGTATTCCCCTCCCACAGACTAAACACATGCATCCTGTGTGATTGTGAGTATTATGTGACCCTGCTGGACAGGTGACCCACTGGAGACAGACATGGTGAGTCTGCACAGGCTCAAGCAGACCCAGAGAGAAAACAGATGACTGATGGGTGTCTGTGTCCTGGTGTTGAAGTGATTAGAGCTGTTCAGGGTAACTTTTCCCAGACTTGTGTCTTTATGATCAATGCCTTAACAAAAACACCCTAAGGATGAATAAAGGCAAGCCAGAGAAAAGACAGCATCTATATCTGTTATTTAAATAAAATGCCAGGATTGTTAAACTTTTATTAATTCAGTGTTTCTAAAATAAAATATTTAGTGAAAAAGGCCAAAAAGCTGAAGTTTACAAAGATCCCACTGTCACACACACACACACACACACACACACACACACACACACACACACACACACACACACACACACACACACACACACACACACACACACACACACACACACACACACACACACACACACACACACACGGCAGAATGGTAATCTGGAGAAAATGGAGGCAGTTTTATGCCATGCAAGTCAGAAAGGTCAAATTGCAAATGTCAGCTTTTTCTCTTTGATTTTAATTATTCCGTCAGGTTCAAAGAGTCTTCATCAGAAAGGAGCTGTTCTGACAAAGGAAGGCCTGAGCTCGCAGATAAACTCAATCTGCGTCTCCTCTTGACACTTCCTTCTCCAAACGTAGCCGACGCTCAGGATTACCGCCGAGTAAATTACAAAGTATCACTGAGCCAAAGGGGTGGGGGCACAGACCTTCCTGCAAGTCAGCTGACTTCTTGAATTTATTTGACGATACATTTAAAAATGTATCGTGGGGTGACGGTGGCACAGAAGTTAAGTGCTGGCCCCATAATCAGAAGGTTGCAGGTTCAAGTCCCGCTCAGTCTGTCGCTGTCGTTGTGTCCTTGGGGAAGACACTTAACCCACCTTGCCTGCTGGTCAGAGGGACCGGTGGCACCAGTGCTCGGCAGCCTCGCCTCTGTCAGTGCGCCCCAGAGCAGCTGTAGCTACATCATAGCTCATCCCCACCAGCGTGAGAATGACTGGTTGTGTTGTAAAGCGCCTTGGGGGGTTATAGGACTCTAGAAGGCGCTATATCAAATACAGGCCATTTACCATTAAAAAGTTGAACATTGATTCAAATCACTCAATGTCAATAAACACAAAATCCCAAATCCAAACTGCCGAGAAGGCTTCAGGTAGCCTTCTGCTAAAGGTGATCTAGCTACAGGACGCCAGCTTGGCCCTTGCCATCAATGCGTGATCCTTTCTTTATGGCCTGGAATATGCTTGCTGTTTAACCTCCAGGCTACGTCTTTGTTCACATACCTGATGCTGTGCTGCATGTAGTACTGGATGATTCCACTAGGGGACACAGTAGAGTACTCAGACTGGATAGAGAGCTGGGTGTATGGGGTACAATTAAAACAAACATGGCGTCAGCTAGTCGAGATGGTCTACACCAGAAACAGTCTAGAGTCACCGCAGTGTGTGTCTCCCTCGTTTAGTCAACTCCACCTACTGGTTACTCTCATATTGCAGCGTTCTAACGTGATGTGTTCATTTCAGGGAGCGTGCACAAACGACACTTAAAATCAACACAAGTTATGCGAGGCAGCCATTTTAAACACACGTTGTTAATTTAAACAGCAAATACATTCCAGCCCTAAGTGTACACATCTTGATGCAGAAGTACCTCTACTCTCAACGTAACACCAGGAAAAACCATTACTGATCATATTCTACCACCATGATGGTGTCTGTCTGTGCTGAATAAAAACGTAAATAAATCTTCTCTTTAGCAACTGTTCTAAAAGTTTATACCTAAACAGAGTTGAAAGGGAAAACAGAGTGAAACTGGAGGAGAAACAGATTTCGACTGGGGACACGTTTTGATGTGACACAAGTGGAGAGCTTGACACGAGCCGTTTCTCAAACCCAATTGCGCTAGTACGTTCTGGCGTACTTGACAAGTATGCTCTTGCCAAGTACAGCAGAGAGTACATTCTACTGAGTACGGGAGTACGTTGGGGACAGAACCGTACTCCGCTACGCCACAGAACCAAGCACTGATTTATGTTATGAATAAAAAATGACCTGAAATAAAAATAAAAGACATTTTCCTTTCGTGGTGTAACACAATGCATTATGGGATGCCTTGCTAGCCTAAATCTGCATCAGGATTCGTTGATGCATTCTTGATAGAATGGGAGGAGCAAAGACACATCCAGGATCTTTGATCCTACTTTCAATGATACATACTTAGGACTGGAACGGTAGTTGGACCAGTGTTGATGAAGTTTCACAAGTACGCGAGTCCCAGACAGGTGTGAATACTGGGAAACAGCCTAGGAATGGAGGCAGGTGAGTGTGAGTAGATCTGAGATAACAGGAAAGAGACTTTTTGATGATGGCCTTGCATCAGGAAAGGCAGCAAAGAGGCCACTCAGAAAAAGAACATCAGTGACATCTTTATATTCTGCTGGAGTTGTCTGCAGAAGAAAGGTCAGACGTCCTATTATCTTGTGTCCCCTCAACGGTAAAGCATCCTGAGACCACTCAGGGGGTAGCTTCTCAGTCGAGGGAGACGACTCACAGCTTAGCCTCAGAAAACAGACATGAATGAAAAAAAGGTACCAAATCATCCCCCCAGAGGAACTCCTTCCAGCCACAGACTCTTTATATGAATCTGTCAATAAAAGTATTTGAAACATACCGAACGTTTTCATTTCTGCGCCTGTAACCATAGAAATAGATCTGAAAGCCCTCTGGTAGCAAAATGTGTTAAACTGCATGTTTCAGTCCTAACACCTGACTGCGCCGTGGCCCCACTGCAGCTCATTACAGCCTCGTCTTGTTTGGTTTTGGCTGCATCCATCTGAGTCGGGGTGCCGTTTCTGTTGACAGTTGTTAGCTATGCAAGTTGTTTTATTAAACACACTGACGGTTTGTTTCATCACCAAGCTGCCAGACAGAAGCTCCAACCGCTAAAGTCTCTGTTATTCTACGTTTCACAGCCTTTGGTAGGCTGCTGCAACAACGCCACAGAAGGGAATCAGCATGGAATTTCTTATTTAACGGTATTTTATCGTCTGTACCCAGTTAGCCTGTGTCCTACAGGCAGGTCAATTCCTTTCCTGCTACATAAAATCCTTCAACAGACACATTAATGTCATATTTTTTCCTATTCTGTGAGCACAGATACTTTATTTGTCTCTTAGCTTCGGATTCAGTCAGCTGGGGTCATCACTGTATCACACACACACGAACACACACACAAGGTCACGGACGCACTCTAACCGGTGAATAACAGGAGGCTCGAGCCGGCCAAGGTGGAGGCTGGTCTTGCCGTGTGATTCGCCACATACATCAACTCTGTTGAGCAGAAAATTGAAATGTGGGCCTTGGAGGAGTG